GGACACAATCAGACTAGGTGCCCTTCTCACCCCTTCTTCCTCCACTGAGATATCAGTGTTGGGAATAATATAAGGCTTAAGAAAGCAGGTTGTGAGATAAAAGGCCACATCACGATGATGATCTCTATCGATCGGCAACCTTGGGAACACAGAGGAGGTCCGGCATTTGTCACGTCGAAGCTGAACCCAATAGCTGATCTGCAACGCACTCTGATGAATTGGTCCTGTTCACCAAGTTTGTTTAATTGATGACATGTTCTCTTTCAGGTGGACCACCGCTATGTTTCATGCATTCATTGATTCTTTGAAGACCTCCCCATACACTCTTGTTTTCTTGCTTTGCTTTACCACCATGGTGCGTAATACCAAACTACTTTGACCACTCGCCCTTGGTATAAGAGTCATCTCTACACGTAACCAAACTTCCAGAAAACGTAATTAAAGGTGTGGTTGACTGAAAAGAAAACTTTTTTTTATTGGTAATATCTGATTATAATCAGTTACTCTATATTTGTTACGTGTATCTAATATTTGGAAGAATTTACATGCAAACTTTTGTATATTTTCTTTTCTTTTGGTGCAATTCAAACGCTGACCGCTAGCCCATTAGGCTAAACATGAAAATATCTCTTGCATTAGCTAGAAAATAGCTACAGTGAAACTCTAGGATTTGAAAAGCAATGCTCTCCTGGCTGGCTCACCATTATATGTAGGATGGTAAATGTTGTGCTTTTAAGCCTAATATATTACCTTTACTTCTGACCAATAAGCTGTGATACTCAATATAAATATAGAATATCAACCTGCTTGGTCTTTGGATGTTTAATCAGAAGATTCTAGGATTTTTTTTTCTTTTTCAGTGATCAAACACACTTTGTCTCGATTCAGACAGAGTCAGGTTTATAAAAGATAAGAAATTTATTTTCTAAACAAATAAAAACAGGACAAGTTAACCAAGGCCACTGTGATAGATGAAACTAAGAGGATGGGATGTGATGTATGGTGACTATGTGTGAATGTTTATCAGAACCTTCGTATCTAGAAGAACTGAGTTCTGGGTGTAAAAAGGAGAATTTGGTTTGCATTAAGCTATGAAGTTGGTTCTTATCAAATAGGCATCAGACGCAATCTGTGTGTCTACCTCACCCTTTCTGTGGAGACCCTCTTTGTGGATCCGAAGGTCAGGGAGGTCGGATGACCTCTGGGCACCGAGGTTTGGTGGATTAACTGCAGCACCGACTCTCCAGTCCAGAGATGTTTCCGAGTCACAACAGATAGATTAAATTGTTTGCGTCTAGAACTGCTGTTTCTGAATAGCTGAAGGAACCGTTTTGCTGTGTCAGCTGTAGCATGTAGCAGGGTTTTTGACAGCTTGTCAAAAATGCTCTGGGTTAAAGAGGGTTTGCTGCGGATGGCCTGTCCGTAGCTTTCTCTAGAACTGAATGCTGAATCTCACAGGATGCTGGAAGCTGGAAGTCGAAGTTGAAGTGCTGAATCACTGTAAGTGATTCTGCTTTAATATTCTCATATTATGGTTTACTTGGCCAACCGGGATGTGCCATGTTAAGGGGTGTTCACAAGCAAACCTCAGAACGTCACGCCTCTTTCAGAAACAGGATGTTCTGATTTGTGGCTAAGAAAATATCTACGTGTCATGACGTTTACTTAACTTTAATTTATCTCTAATGAACCTTGTGTCTGAGTGTAGATAATGATTCACTTGTTAAATTTAAAATTACTGATCATAATATCAAAATGTTTCATTTCAACCACAATAATGTAAGCACAGATCAATCAAAAACAATATTGAAAATTTCATATAACATTTGTTGATTCCATTTCACGATTGATTGACTCATACGAGCTGAAAATAGTCACTTTATTCAGAGGCATGAGAAATCCTGCGGTGTTATCAGAAGAAGGCTTTTTTTGGGAACGCAGACTGACATCGTGTTCCTCCTGAAATGTCAACAAGGTTTGGAGAGCCTTGTTGCTTGTTAGAAGGTAGAATGTGAAATCCACCTAAGAGCTGGAATTTATGTCCTCCAGTGACCCGTGGAATGTAGGCCAGTTTTTAGATGAAAACTGACCATTGCTGGACGTTACACCACTCTGTGTATCATTAGGAATGGGAATTGCCCATATTGACTCATGACAGGGAATGCTGTTTTAGCATCCAGAATCAGCAGAGAATGTTTCTTTCAACCAAAGCTAACAGCTAGCATTAGCAACTCAAACACATGGCTGCAGCTCCTCCGGGCTTGTTATCTGTAGAGATAAAACATCCATGTCCCCAAGCAAAGTTAGTGGTAGAGTTGTGTTGCTTTTATCCAGTCTGAGGTGAGATGTCTAAACATCAGGAAATATGACTCCAAATCCTGCCGTTTGAAGCACATAGCTCTGGTGTTGCAGACTGGTCCTGCTGGGCCAGGGTTTGTGGGCCCTAACCCTCACCCATTCCTACTAGAGTCCACTGCAAAGTTAATGATTAAACAAGTAAACCACTCCTGTAACTTACCTTTTTGGATCAAAAACTTTAATGGATGAGTCAAATGCACATATGTCTAAGCTAAAAGTCGCAGATTGTTTTGAGTTTAGCTTAAGCTTAAAGGTAAGCCAGCCATTGATGGCCATGCCACGTGGTTGATCCCTCACTATGCCAAACTGTTAATGTTTCAGTGCCGCAAGGCTAAAGGCCGCCATGCCTCAGAAAGTCTTAACAACCCAAACAGGAAAGACCTTGAATTTCTAACCACACAATCCTCTTTCAGGGGATCTGGAGTGCATAACTTTGTCATCTTAGAAGCCGTGCATGAAAACGAACACTTGCTGGAGCAGCTAAGCAGCCAGTCAAGCAAGCGCTAGCCAGGCTGTTTTCAGCTATCAAAGGAAAAATTCCAAGCTAATGGGGTTTCACAATTTCCAGCGTATCTTTGCCTTCCACTGATTACCTGCTGAGAAGGCTTATCACACACACACACACACACACACACACACACACACACACACACACACACACACACACACACACACACCTTTCACACTCTCTTAACTTTAGAGTTTTGTACTTCAGGTGGATGCACATGCTTCAGTGTGGGAGTGAATGTGACAGCTGAATGACCGTGGGACTAAATTTGTGGCATCATTAAAGCAGCTCGAAATTCAAACAAATATAAAGGATGGCGTGCGAATCACCTCGGCGAGCTATGGACTGACTCGACAGCTGAGACGAGGAAGTGAAGAACAAGAAGAGCTGAAGCAACAAAGGTAGAGAAACTGTGCAAAAAAATAAAAAGGAGAAAAAAGCACACTTTTGGATTTAAAGCACCTATCTCAGATCCCACAGCCTTGAGAATGGGATTGGATTACTGTCGGTTAGATTTACTCCCAAGGCTCTTCACCACTACATCATCGTAGGGCCCCCTGCCTCTGGATCAATGGGGATATTTACTGCGCCTGTTTCAGGGAGACTTTCACAGTAGGCAAGGCATTAAACAAACAGCCGACAGCCCCGTCCCAGTGATGGCCTGTCTGTTCACACTGTGCCATGCACAAATGTCACATTTCAAACAGATAGCACGCAGACATGAATCGAGACCAGATAAAACAAACAAACATGGCCACAAAAAAAGCGATCTGCCACGTTTCATGAGAAAAAGGCGAAAGTATGTGATGTTTACTCTGATAATTAGCCTTGTAACCCACTCTAAAATTATACTTGTTAAAATCCTCCTAAAGGGACATAGCTGAAATAATCCCTTGTCTGCATTCCCCTGTTTTCTATTAAAAGTTATTTATTAGTAAAATAAAACTGGATGCGCTTCAGATGTTGGACATTACCATTGCTTAATGGAAAAAAATAATAAAAATCCTAAAAAAAAACTCAGAATAACAACTTTTTTTCTACCATACAGTGTTGTGGTTCCTGACCTTAAGTAACCTCTCCAGGAACAGCATCATCCCAGCTGGGTTTCCTTGGGGTGAAACAGGGCTTCCACAAGCAGAGGCCTGTTGAATAAAATGATAAAACTGAGAAGAATCACCATTTAGAGTCAAACAACAGTCTATGTGCGCTGTGTGCAAAATGATTTGCTAAATGCGAGCGCATGAGTGAAAGCATGAGTGGAATTTATTTTGTTTCCACACAAAAATGAGTGAGATGAGCAGCTTTTTCAGCCAGTATGAAATTTCTTAATTATGAAACAATGTCACTGACTAAACGCCTTGTGATCAGCTGACAGCACAACGGCAGCATGCATTCACCAGACCAGCCCGCCTAAAACAGCCCTACTTACAGCATCACCGTGGAAAAATATTGGTTTAAAGGACAAAAATATATATATAAATAAATAAATAACAAGCATGAGTAACTCAGACTGATAAATGCTGTCAGCACCTGGCAGTGGCATTTAATGTACTGGTTTCACTGGAGTTATTACTTGCGTTTGCATTTATCCACCATTTTAAAACAATGGAATTATGTTGTAATAAAGTTGCAGTTTAAATGCATCAGCTGATGAAAGCTATGCTTCAACTTTACATATAACTTTTGAATTCATTATTTTATGACTTTGTCATCTTTTTCCACCAACTGAAACTGAAATGTATAAAACTCTATGGAGATTTGACTTTGCATTGTGATGAATTCAAGACGTAAATGACAATAGTCATTTAACCAAGATTAGTGTGGACACACCCCTTGGATCGGATTACATCACTTTGCTTGTTCATGACAAAGAAATGAGATTCTCTTATTTCTCTCAGAATATGTTTTATTCTTTTGAATTTGGTTAAAGTAATGACAGTGGAAGGTTGTGTCTGAGTAATGGTGTGTGTGTGTGTGTTTATATATGTAATTATATATATATATATATATATATATATATATATATATATATATATATATATATATAAATTTTTTTTTTCATATTCCCATTTATACTTTATCCCAGTGAAACAGAGAAAATGACATGTGAATAGAGGAGACCGCTCAAACACACTTGTTTTCTCCCTTTATTTGAGAAGGTTTTTGATTGAGTGATGAGTTTCCACTCGGACGAGCCGCACAGATGCAACAGCAGAGACCCGTCTCTGTCAGCGAGAGGAGGAGTGGTACGCTGAAAACAATGGAAACAGCACGTGATAGATAGATCAGTCAAAAGGGTTAACGGGAACTCACAGACAAAACGTCTTGTTTTTAAAAAGTGCATTCACAAACATGACAAATACTCTCAACTCATGATATCTATCTTATGTGATACAAAATATGCATACCTGTTTTAGATTTGTCTGTATTTCTATACATAGATATTTCTTCAAAAGATTCACCTTTGTCTCTTTTTTTCTTCTTTTTACAAAGGTTAAAAGCTGGGTGTGGTCATAGCAGCTTTGGATATCTTTTGCCTCTTTATCATGTGACAAACTGTACATGATGTCAACAAATATCCAAATAAAACCTACAATTTTTCTCCGTTGATCAAATAAAATGACATTTCGTCTTTATTGACTGGGATTTTCATGAGGGAAGCCTGCAGTTTATAGATAAAAAAAAGGAACCAATCAAATGCTTGGGCTGTTAAATATATTTTTGTATACCCGCTTTTTTCATCAATATCATAAATACTAAAGACACGGGACAACATTAGTAGACAATGCTGAGAGACTAAATGTAAAGATTAAAACAGTTTAAACATTGTTTTTTCAAGTTTTCTCGTTCATGAGGAAAAAAATGATCAGGCGAGCACAAAACACTACATTCCATTCTTTTCTTCAGCCCGTCAGTGGCCCTTTATATTTAAAAGATCAACCACAAACAGGGTTGCTGGACAAAAGTCAGACTGTCTATAAACAAAACTGTTAGCCCCGTCCAGATAAGACACTTGTCCGTTATCACATAGGCAGGATCCTGGTTTTCAAAGGAATTCATAAAAGCAGTCAAACGTACTGATAAAAAGAAATAAGTACCATGCATTATCTTGCAAGACGACATATTCTCAAACAAGAGTTTTCTTTGCGTCGACGAAATATCAAGTGAGAAGGGAAAGGTGAAAAGGCAAAGGCCTCTAATCAATACTAAATACTATATTTCCAAAACCAACAGAAAAAAGGAAAAAAGAAAAAGTAAATTTAATCTGTACACAGTTTAGTATGCATGAGTTTAGACTGGGTCAGCAGTTTCTTTCCATAATAATTCTCTCATCATACTTTAGTTTTTGTCAAACCTTGGAATATTTCACAAAAGTTTTTCTTTCGTTTTTCTAATTGATGCCAATCTCTTTGTTCTCCTCCATATATCTGGAAAACGGACGATTGGCAGCAACCTCGAGTCCAGCTTTTTCCATCCCCGTCATAGGAGGGCTACTGCCGGCATGAACGCTGCGGTCCATCCCTCCAGGAAGAGACCCCAGTGATGTGATTCCTGCGCCACCGAGGCTGACAGGCAGCGGGGAGATGCCTCCATTCTGAATCACAGAAATCTCATTGTTCTTCATGGCCAGGCCGTTGGTGATAGCAGCAGCATACTGGTTCCAGAAGCCCGGGTCGACATTCATGGCCCGAGCTGCCAGGTCTTTTTGAAACATTTCACTGAACTTCATGGCATCCCCGCCCAAAAGTGCCATCGGGTTCTCCACCGACAAGCGCCGACCCCTACGGGCTGGAGCGTTGTTCCACATGTGGGTTCCCATATGAACCTTAAAAGAGCAACAAAATAAACAAAGTCCCATTAGTCATCATCACACACTGGTGAAATGCATCACCGCATTTGACCCATCCCTTTGGGGGAGTGGTGAGCTGCAGCTGTGGCTACGCTGGGGGAACTATTTGGTGGTTTAACCCCCCAAAGCTTAGTGTCAAGCAGGGAGGCATTAGGTCCCGTTTTTAAAGTCTTTGGTATGACCCGACTGGTTTTGGACCCCGATCTTGGGCTGCATGGTGGCGCAGTGGTTAGCACTGTTGCCTCGCAGCACGAAGGTTGCAGGTTCGAAACCCGGCTGCGGCCTTTCTGCGTGTTCTCCCCATGCATGCATGGGTTTCCTCCGGGTACTCCGGTTTCCCCCACAAATCACTACATGCCCTATAGGCTATAAATTGTAAGTCGCTTTGGATAAACGCGTCTGCTAAATGAATAAACATAAACATCTTCCTTTCCCAGGGTGGACACTCTACCACTAGACCACCGAAAAGGTATACTATAAAATTCTGAGTTATATTCAAACATCTAAACAAACACTGTTAGTCATAAATTCAAAATGTGCAGCCATCACAGTTTTATATTAGCTTCTACCAAATCATTTAAAGTGACCGTGTGTATTTTCCCTGGCGATAGGGGGCAGTACATACCAAATCATTGCAAACAAGCGGTATTTTTGTTTTTGAGTAAGACCTAACCAATGGATGGCCATTAGGGTAAAGAATCCCTGGGAGCACAATTTTCAAACAGGTACTTTGTCATTGTTTGACCTCCAGCAAAATAACAAGCACGTCAGACTCCCTTTCATTGCAGGCAATATGCGAAGAGGTAAATGCGTAAAACAACAATGTTTATGAATAGCAAAAGTTCCGTAATGGCGTGTCACAAATCAGTAAATGGGTTTTGTCCTCATTGGCTCACGTAGAAGGAAACACTGTGTCTAATGTGGCGTCGCCCAGAGACTTTGATCCGCTCCCAGGTATTTTAGACCTAATATTTATGGTTAAATGTTACAAAGCCGCCAATATATTTCAACCGCATTCAATTTATTTTCAACAACACTTTGATCCAAAGACTAAAAGTAAAAACTACACATTGTCATTTTAATGAATGAAATAAAGACTATAAATGTGAAGTGACACATAATATTCTTCAACAATACATATCCATAAATAAAGTGTTAAATAAAATGACCCCATGTCAGTCACCTGTATGTGACCTCACCTTCAGATTGCCCTTTGTGGTGAACGCCCTTCCACAAATAGAGCAGGCGAAGGGTTTCTCTCCCGTGTGTGTGCGCTCATGGATTTGCAGAGCACTGGCTGAGGAGAAATTCTTCCCACACGAGTGGCAGTTGTGTTGCTTAGGGGTGCGACGTGGAGGTGGGGGGGCCAACATAGGATTAATGCTGGGGCTCACTGTGGTCAGTGGTGCTGCAGCTGGAACCTGGATGCCCATGGGCATGTGACAGCTGTCGCTCAAAGATTTGCCATGTCCATTCATTTCCATTTTGATCATGTTTGATGCAGTGCTGGCTAAATTAGGAGTACCAAGCCCTGGGAAACGAGAGATTCAGTTAAAATCTGCAAAACTGTCTTTTAAACCAACATAGGGTCATTTTTAACTATCATTTTAAATATTTTTGTTTTAGAGCAGCATTTTGAATTACTCTGACCAGTCTTTTCTGTGTAGAACATTGACCCAATCAGATAAGGTCTGTACTAATACTGCTACTTTTTATGATAAGAAACGTTTTTCCCAGTTCCAGTCTGATACTCACCACGATCTCTGTTTAGAAACAGCATGTTGAAGTGGCTCTCCTCTTTGATGAAGTGCCTGCCAGGCTGAGTGGCAGTCAGGTCAAGAGCCCCAGTCCCTTCACTTGCAGAAAGTGGAGATGGGGTTTCTGATTTTTCTGACTTCACTGTTGTCAAGCCAGCTGAATTGTTCTCCTGGCCCTCTTCTGCTGTCATGGCACTGCAGTTGTTATTATTACTGATTGTAACTGGGGACTTGGATGTCTGGCTCTCAGAATGGCTATGAGCTGGGGACAAATGCTGCATTGAGTCAGAGGACTCAGACAAAGCGGGGCTCCCTAAGCTCTGACTCTCAACATCCCCCACTGCAGTCAAGGAATCTGTGGTAAAACAGTCCGTCTCCCCTACAAAGCTACTGCCGTTATGTGCAGGCTTCTGACCAAAAGCGCGGGCTATGTTAGCGGTAGAGTCAATCATCTTCATCTGGTTTTCCATCGCAGCAATGCTGGAGATGATGGAAGTTGGAGGTGAGCCTCCAGGGGAGTATGGTTTAGACAGGTCCACCTCCCCATCTTTTAAGTCAACTTCATCATCCATCGCCTGCTCCATTTCATCCAGGAGGTCATCATCATAGTTGCTCATTGCATCTAAGCTCTTCTCATCAAAGGAGATGTCAGTTTCCATGTCTTGCAGACTTTCAGGGACAGGGGTGTTAGGGATCTGCCCTCCCATGTGCATGCGGATGTGCTGTTGCAGCACAACAGCATTGGTGAACTTCTTCTGACAAATAGGGCAGGAGTGCTGGACTCGGAGTGGAGGTTTGGACCTGTGAACACCAAAGTGTGTTTTTAGGTTTCCCTTGGTGGTGAATGCTCGTCCACATATCTTACATTTAAATGGCCTCTCGCCAGTATGGATACGGTAGTGCATCTTCAGAGCACTCTGGCAGCTCAGAACACGATGACAGATGACACACTGGTTGGGGTCAGTCATCTTCTTGTCAATGTTCTCAACAAGCTGCTGCAACTTCGATGTCTCTGAGGTTTGCATTGAATCCAGGAGGCCTCCAAAGGGAAACTTGGCCTTAAACTGGTCAGATAGCATTGGAAGCACAGGATGGGAAACAGAACTAGAAACGGAATTAGGGCTATTGAGTGGCTCAGTGACTGGACCACTGCCTGATGGTGTTGTGGAGGTGACCGTAGAGGAAAGAAGCACTTGAGTTACTGTAGTTGTTGTGGTTGTGTTCTCTCCTGGCCTAGTAGAGAAAGTTGGGGAGAAGAGAATGCCTTCAGGTTTCAAGAGGGGAGGTGCATCACTTCCAAAGCTGGGTTTTGGGGAAGGTGAAGTAGTGGTCATGCCAGAGTCAGAGGCAATATTGGGGGACAAAGATGCACACTCACTTGTGGGTGGAGAAGGCCTCTGAGGGGACCTGTTAAGAGGAGTTAGACTTGGGGACTCAGAAAAACCTCCAATCATGCTCGGGAGCGTTGGAGGTAGCTGGAGTCCAACTGAGGTGGGGACAGTGGGGAGGACAGGTTTACTGTCCAGCCATGTGGTAACAGGTTTTTCTGGAGGCAATGACATGCCGTATGGAATGCCTGAGCTTGTGGGCACATTGTCCAGGTACTCTGGCACAGGGTAAGGGTTCATTTGAATGTGTGGGTATTTCTCTTTGTGCCTTTGGAAGTGGACTTTCAGATTCCCCTTGGTAGAGAAACGGTTGCCACATATGTTGCATTTGTAGGGCCTCTCTCCAGTGTGGGAACGCAGGTGGATCTGCAGAGCGCTGTCACTGCCAAACACCTTGGCACAGAATCGACACTTATGCTTAAAGAAGGGGTCTTCAGAGCTGGGCTTAGTGTCAAACACTGACACGTTGGGGGGTTTTCCCTTGCGGTGCTTCATTAGAGCGGAAAGGGGGTCAAGCGCGTTAGCCGTGGCTGCTATGCTGGCCAGTGGGTTGGGGAAGATGACGCTGCTTGAGGAGCTGTGAGGTATCAGTGGTAGACTGGAGGCCGAGCTAAGAATGCTATTGTGATTTAGCATGGGAGGGGTGGTAGAGTTCCTGGGAAGAGCTGAGCTGCTACTGATGCCGCCACCTCCAGTTATGCTACTACAAGTGCTACTGACGTTAGACGAGACAGTAGATGAGCAGGACGGATGTAGAGATGATAATCCAGCACCACTTGAGGTGGGAAAGACAGAATTACTTGTAGACGTGTTTGGGACTGAGGAATTAGACTGCTGAGTGCCACCCTGTGATGTTTGAGAAAGAGGCCCTTCTATTGCTGAGGTCAGAGGGGAAGGGCCTTGACCATTTAGAGTAGCTGGCAACCTGACAGTCAGCTGATGGACAGGGGGTGTGATAAAGTCATGCAGATGAAGCTGACTTGCAACAGGAGGGACACAGGAAGATGCAGGCCCCTGGTTTCCAGCAGCAGCAGCAGCGTTACGATGGTGGCTGAGAGCAGATTGTGGAGCAGGCTGCCTGTTCATGAGAGCCACCTGACTTCGAATTTGTTCTATTAGCTGGAGCTGATGAATCTGCTGCTGCTGGAGGGCCATAAGCTGGTCCAGGATCATGGGAATAGCCATGGTGGAAACCCCACTGCCTGCTGCTGCCCTTACACTCTGTGAAAACTGGGCAACTGCAACCCGGGTGCCATGCAGGGTTTCCAAGGTAACATTGGTGCTCGGCATGGTGTAGCTTGTAACAGCAGACGGGACTACATCGTTGAGCTGAGGTAGGGAGCCATCTGGCTCAGGGGATGCTAGGTCTCTTTCTTCAGGTTCTATATTTTTTTCAGGGGAGAGCTCCAGCTCCATCTGTTCGTCCTCCTTTTCCAGGACATTGACCCCATTTAAGGGATCTGTCTCTGGGATGTCATCCCCCTCACCAGCAGGACTCTGGTTGCCCTCCCTGGCATCCTCACTGTCATCTTGCTCACTGGGGCAGCTAAGGGCAGGCGAGGGCTCTGAGGGGTACTCCTGGGAGGGGTTAGGCGTGTCCTCATTGTCATTCACTATGAGCACCAAGGGGTTCTTGGTACAGCTCTTTAAATGTTCACAGAAGTCCGACCACTTGAAGAACTCGGCGCAACACTTTTCACATACGTGAGTCTCTTCGCTGCCACTGCGGCTCTCGTTCCCGCTGTCAGCATCATCCAGCACATCACCTCGGGCTGCAGGGTGGGGAGAGGGTTGGAGGTGGGGGGTGAACGACAGGAAAGAGGGGAGGAAGATGAAAGAAGAATAAATGAATAATTAATCAATAAAGAATCCACACATATTTTGCAGTGGAGCACAGCAAATATTTAACCTCTGATTCTTTTCTCTTTTAACGTAACAAAAATCAATAATCTTTATTTATTTATTTTTTCACTCTGAACAAATTACCCTAGTTCACCAATTCTCAAGAACCAGATTTGTGCGTTCACACCTCTCCATAGAGCCAGCTAATAATTTTCTTTGTGCAATCCATCATATTATGAGGGCCTATCAATTGTGGATACTGCCGCTTAATGAAATTCCATAGAACCTATTGATTTCCAATATTTCATACAATTCACAGCTGCCTCATCTGTTGGGTACAAATAGGGACTTTGATGGCCCCATTAGGATTCCCCTCTGCTATCAAGCTCAGTCATTTCCACCTGAATTTTTAATGACTGGGCCTTTTTATTTTGCCTCGCAAAGGTTATGTTTGAAGCGCTGAAGAGTTAAAACTTTTGTTGAAAATTTAAATCCTCTCAAACAAAAATGTTCTCCATCCCAAGTATAATTATTTTCCGTTTTTACTCTGAAAAAACTGTGAGTTGTGTTTAACCCATCCTCTTTTCACCATAAGAGTCTAGAAATGACATAGTTGTGCCATGGCAGCAGCGTCTCTGATTAGTTACACATGTTTAATCACAGTTGCAGCAAGCCACTTCCTCCCACACGCAGCCCTCAAGAGTCAAACAGACCGGCGCAGACTCTGAGCCCCAATTCACACCTGATCAAAACCAAGTCCAACAGCCTCCCTTGTTCGTTTGTTTTCTCTTTTTAAGTATAGTTGTGGAATATGTGTGTGTGCTTCCTCAAATATATTCCCTTTAATTTTAGTTAACATTTTTAAAGCATTCTATTGAACCACTACCCTGTGAATTTTGTTTGCTTTTCATTTATACAGATTTTCTATCTTTTTTCAAATAACTTAACGACAGCAGAAGTAAACCGGAGTGAGCTACAGGAAGGCAGACATAGGGGAGATGTGCCAATTACAGTGACTCATTAGTAAAGAACCCCCCCGCCACACACACACACACACACACACACACACACACACACACACGCACACACACCCATGTGTAGTCTGTGGCCAAAGGGGGGACAAGCACCATGATGGTCGGCTGGTGTGCTTGAATTAATTAATTAGAAACGGAATGATTCCTGACAGACTCTCTGTTCTCGTCTAGAATCAGCATCACAGATCTGATTCTAAATCCTAGGATTTTTTATTTAGCCTTTCATCCATGATATGTTTCATAATAAATCTTCCCTTTTGCAACAATGAACATGAGCTAATTTATTTATCAAACTTGCTGCCAAACATTAACAGCAATCTTTCATTTAAAGAAGAAAACAAGTGATGAATGAGCTGGGGATTGGAAATGTAAGTGACACGTGACAGCGGGCTACAAAGCTCCTTAACCCGGCGGCGGACAGCAGAGCACATTTCCATAATTGAGGGTTGAAAGGTCAACACAAATGAGTAGGCATTATGTTGAGCTGATTAGTTATTAGATTGGTATTACTGTCAATCTCTTTTATTCATTCATACAATTACAAGTAGGGGTCTTTGTATGAGACTGACCTTGTGTATTCATGCACACACGCACACACGCATGTGCGCATGCACACACAAATACACACACACACATGTGTGCAAACACGCATGCACGCACAAATACACACACACACGCATGTGCGCACGCACACACAAATACACACACACACACACACACACATGTGCGCACACACACATGCATGCATGCACAAACACACACGCACACAGGCACATTTTGCTTAGACAATGTTACCGCAGAAGAAAAAAACAACTGCATCTTGTGTAATTAGAAAACTCCTTTAATCTAAATTTACAGTAAATAGCTGTAAAATATATTTTTAAAAGGAATTTTCTAAATCCATGCATTAAGGACTGTTTTCTTTTACAGAAAATTACTAAAAACATATTTCTACTGTTTTCTTTTCTTCATAATTTGAGATATCTGCTTCCTTTTGCTCAAAATAAAATCATATTTTTTCTAAATCAAAACCTTTAATTGGTTGATAAAAAAGGAGCCTCGTTAAACCTTGTGTAGGCTGTCATTTAGGAAGATTAAGAGAAAATAAACAATTAAGATGAAGAAATATGCTGCTGACTGTGTCGGTTTGAATGCTGCAACAATTAGTCAGAGGTAATTACAACGACCCAAGATGGAGCTACAAACCACCTGATCATTTCCAAACCTGCAGTGGAATTAAATTTTTAATAAAAAAGTCTACACTCATCATTATAAAACAGCTGCATTTGCATTAAGCATCAACGTGCAGCAGTGCCGCGCCGCGCCTCTGTCAAAGAAACATTTTACGCTTGTCATGTGTTTGGAAAAAGTGTGTGTTCCTATGTATGTGTAGGGGATATTGATTTTTTTCAGCCTATAGAATGAGAAAAGGAATAAAAATCCAATCGGTTTTTCGTTTCTTTAAAAGTCTTTATTTATCCAGATGTAAATATTTAGATGAGAGCACCCAGCAGCAGGATTGGACACACTCAATCCGTGCTTTGGTTATTCTGCTGAAACATCTCAAACCACTAACCCGCTAGCAGACGAGGTGCTTGTGCCGTTCATTTTCATCTAAAGAACAACAGAATAAAATATGTTTAACCTCCCAGGATTAACAATAATCACAATCAGACCAAGTCATTTAAGCGGGGCTACTTTGAAGACTCCCAGGGAATATTCTACAAAATCAATCTGTAATCCTTTCATTTCTGCAACTCATCACACCCTTTTTAAATCATTTCCTTTCAAACAATCATAGAACTTGCATCCCTGCACCTCCAGCTGAGAGCACACACACACACACACACACACACACACACACACACACACACACACACACACACACACACACACACAAGGCCTCCTCCTGCAACTGACAACAATTTTCATGTGATTCTTCCACCATTCTAACATTCAAATAAATCATTTAGCTTGTTTTTTAATCAAAGTAAAAGTGAATGTGAGATTTAGTCTGTTTTGTGGGTGTGGAACACCTCACCACTGAATTATAATTATTAATCAGTAAATTGTTGAAATGTATAAAGTGCATATATTGAAATTTATAATCAGTTTTTATGAAAAATATTTGCATTGACTTTGTTAACATTATTTGCTGTAATTAAAAAATACCCGATTGAAACTTAATAAAATAATTGTGTTTCCTAAATGTAAAACAATTCCTGGACACTAGTGTGTGCGAGCCGTTCCTCGAACGATCCTGAGCATCCTCAGACCAGCACAGGCCTGAACGCGTTAAGCTGGAGTGTGTGTGTGTGTGTGTCACTGGGTTGGTCAGCCCTGCTGCAGAGTGGTACAGTCATATCTGCACACACACACACACACACACACACACACACACACACACACACACACACACACACACACACACACACACACACACACACACACACACACACAGAGGCCTTTGTCATCGCCTGCAGATGCGGAGCAGCCAAAACATTAACGATTTGTTTGTGCAAGCGTTTGCAATACAGTATTCAGTGACGGCACTCTGTCCAGATGACTCCATCCCTCGTCAAGACGGCATTCTGAGGCTGGACTCGTGAGAGAATGAGCCTCCGATGAGGATGTGGCTTTAAGGTCCGACAGGCGGCCATCCTCTATGTGCAAATGAGACGTTTAATAAATCAGCTTCTTTGAAAAATTGAAGGACGTTTACATTAAACTGTTTCTCTGTTTCTTTTAACTACAATACCGCGTCTAAATTAATCTAAAAGTCCCATTAATGACCAAACGAGCATCTCCAGCGGGTAACTTGGTAGCTTTCAGCTAAACCCTCCAAACACTCTGCTGCCTAGTGTTAAATTGTCCTTCCGTCTCATGCCGCGTTCTTCCTCTCCTTCAGGATCGTGCTTGCTAGCGTGTGTTTTCAGTGCTGAGTAGTAATTAAGATGCAGCCATATTTGAGTGGCTTCTTCAAGACATCCTTGGCACAACTACGTGGGTGGTCCTCGGGCCTGCACACAGTGGTGAGAAGGGATTAAAACAAAAGGCAAACAAAGCCCCACCGCAGGGAAGTGGGACACAACTATGTTGTCACTGTCAGCCGGGATTTCAGCACTTTGCCATATTTAATTTCTACTTATCAACAAACTACTTCCCTGACTGGATTATAAAGGGACATTTTAGGTTCCCACTTCCTCCTTTTAGATTTTAGAATAAAATGAATTTAAAAAATGTCCTCCGGGAAATTATAACATCCGACTGTTTACTGTGCTTCTGAACGAGATTTCTGTTTCCTGAAAACTTCACACTCTTCCCCCGACACACACACACTTCCCCAACCCCTCACATGTTGCCCCTCAGTGATGGGAGCAGAGGTGTGGTGAAAAGCTCATCGCTGTTCACACTTTCTAGGACACAAGTGAGCTGCACTGCCAAGGTCAGCGGCACACATGTTCTAATTGTACAAAGAGCCTGACATCTCCAGGCAGGATCTGGCTGGCTGGGACGACACAAAGGTTAAGTCAGCAAGCTTTGTAAAAGCACTCCTAAGCTGACTCCCCCTTCCTCCTCCTCCTCTCACCATGCTAACACATAAACACCACCCCCCTCCCTATGCCCCCCGAGGGGCAAGTGTCCGGAAGGCCTCAGGGGGATTGGATACGGGCTTGTTGGCACCTGAGTTTTTCACGTTTTTGTTCGCGACATCGACATGACATCTCTGAGGTGCCATAGAAAAAAATGTCAGGTCAATTTGGATGAGAAATAATTATAATCTTTGTCATTTTCATAGAAAACCCACACCACCCAAATCAGGAAGTGATTTACACTCGGAACTTTTGGATTTCTTCTAATATTTATGCAACAAAACTGTCAAGTCCAGAAACCAGCGGTGTTCTTCAATAGGAGGGGAGAACCAGATCATGCTGCCCTGACGCACGGACGGTCTGACATTAGGAGCTTGTCCTGTAAAGTAGCTTTGGATGGTGTTATTAGGTTGATTTAAGTGTGTATGGGCTCAGTGTGCTGTGCCAGAAAGCTCGGGATTGTTCCACTGCTGTGTCTGCCTCCGAATACAAGTGAGCCACTATCCAACAAGGACATTCCAGGCAGCTTCCACTCCAGCGCACAATGGTATTGTCAGGCTACAGTATAGATTACCCATAAACCTGTGTGTGTGTGTGTGTGTGTGTGTGTCATTTTAAAGAAAGATGCCAACACTTTAGAGTTTTTAAATCCAAAAACCTGGAATTGTGGCTACTTTCTCATTTAATTGAGTCTGAATTTTCCATTGAATTCCAAATTAAAGGGAATCATCTCATTCAACAGGAAGACAGAGTATTATTTTCCATTCCGCGGTCCAACAGGAGAGGAACCTGATGGATGTTGTGCTTGTGTATCTGAGCAAAAATCAGAGAGGGGTTATCTCCGCACCCCAAACAGTCATGGTGTTTGTGTTTGTGAGTGTGAACAGCCCGTAAATTACAAAAACCCAGAGAGTAAACGGACAAAAGAGCCAGGAGTCATTAATGTGACCCCCCTGCACCCTCGCACGCACGCACGCACACACACACACACACACACACACACACACACACACACACATGCAGAGACACCTCCCTACAGACCAACATTTCAACATGCAAAGACAGTCACTCCCCTGAGGTTACATCATGCATTTATTTTCTAAAGAAACACCAAAAAGTCTCTCTCTCTCTCTCTCTCTCTCTCTCTCTCTCTCTCTCTCTCTCTCTCTCTCTGAGTGTGTGTGTGTGTGTGTGTGTGTGTGTGTGTGTGTGTGTGTGTAAATAAATGAAAATGGGTCTTGGGTAAAAAACCTAAGTTTTGTGACAATTTAAGTTTTTTTAATTATAACTAGAGTAAAAAGCATTGTAGTTACATCTGAAAACAATAATAAAATAAAACACACTTCACTTGAATGAATCTGAAACATTTATGAAGCTGACACGCTGTGTTATAATTCAACCTCCTTGACTTTAACTCTATAATAATGTTTTTGTTGTGCAGAAGCGCGAGCGCAGGATGGAGGATAAATAATCCCTTTCTCCATATGGCGAGGACAGGCTCTGTCAGCCGATCTTGTCCACATTGTGAGCGAAAGGGAACAAATCAAGTGTGCTAAATTTATGTGAGGGGGGTAAACAAAAAACATTTCCATGACAAAACCAGGCTTCGACCTGCAACAGACTCCGCATTTTGTCCCTCCTAGAGCCAGGAGAGCGCCGAGAGGGACAAAAGATAAACACGTCTTAGGATTAAAACAGTTAAAAAATAACGGGTTTATTTTTTAAACACAAAAAAATTAGATTACAATCTCCATTTTATCTTTTAATTTACCAAATTCACTGCATTTTTCCCAAGTTGGTGTGTTTGCACCTCTGTCCACGTGCACAAGCAGAACAGATTTACGAAGCCAAATTAGATGTTTATAGAAAAAGAAAATATTAAATGCCTTCTAGTTTAAAGAAGGCCTCTAAAAATATAAAGGCCTCCAGCTCATAATGTAAAAGCTGCAGGTGTGAACCGCTTTCAGCTATTCCTAATATTTGCATTTGTTCAATTAATCCTAAAGGTCATCTGTCAGCCAACAGCCGACTGTGACGCAACACGAAGACACGCAGATTTTAGAGGGAATTAAATTCGGCAACCTTAAACATCTTCCTGCCTTAAATCAGAAACGTTAACTCAATAAACGTGTCATGACAGATTTATAGTAAATTATTATTATTTATTGCAATACAAATGATGAATAAAATCAATATAAATGGATTTAAACTCATAGAAAGCGAGTAAAGTGAACGTTTGAAGTCGGCGCAGAGAGAGGAGGAAGTTGCGTGTTTGTGGTGCGCTCAGCTGATGGGTCCACTCACCGTGCTCGGAGATCACCCCGGCTAGAGCGGGATCCTCGTCCGACTTGAGGTGCTGCGGCTTGGCTTGCTTTCGTCGGGACATGCTGCTGCTGATGCGGGTGGTGCTGCTGGGTTTACGCTCCGGGATGCGCCTGCGTTTTGCAGCTGCATCAGCGAAGAGCGGACGGATCAAAAAAGTTCGCAAACAGTCTGGGATCGTGGCGTGGGCTCAAATCTGAAATTAGCCAGTGCTGCTGTCGCTCTTCCTGCTGCTGCTTCTGCTGTTGCTGTGAGTCGAATTGCGCATGTCGGGATAATAATTATGATAGTGAATAATGCCTCGCGATTAATGGCACCGTGTGAAGGTGGGGAGGATTGGCTGGCGTCCAGCGGACGCGCATTGGATATGGTAATGAGGGACGGACTAAGCAATTAGCCGCTTCTCTCTCAGACTTTATCCGTCTCTCTTCTTTTTGTCGTTCTTTTTTTCCGTCCCCCCTCAACAACACAACAAACCAGATCCCCCGTTTTAGCCAGTTCACAGGGAGGTCTCCTCTCCTGTCTGCTTCACAAAGCGCGCTGGCTCTCCAGCGCTCCTCTTCCAGCGTTTCTGACGCGCATCACTCAACTTTTATGATGCCACAACTTCTCCTCGCAGTCTCCAAACCTTGGCTCTCTTCTCGCACTTTCTCTCTCCCTCTCCCTCTTTCATAAAAAGAAGAGTGCACACTCCTCCTCCACCTCCTCCTCCGAAGCAAGCGACGTTTTTAGCCTCTGAGATGCTTCAGGGCTTTAAAGTTTGTTTTCATGTCGGACGTGAGCGCTAAAGTGGATGTTCGCTGTAACGCACCAACAGCTGGGGAACTTCAGCTCTCCAAACTTTGACGCGCGTCTTCTTCTGTTTCAGAGAGCGCGGCGCGAAAAAAAAAAGAAAAGTAAAAAAGAAAAAAGCTTCGTTATCTCAGCAGCAGCCACCGGGATGAGAACTCACAGGAGTCGCTTTTGTTGTGGTCGCAGGGAAGTTCCTCTACTCCTCCTCTTCTGTCGCCGCGTTTCAGCTCCCGCGGCTCGCCTCGGTGCGCTCTCCAACAAACTCGCTCGTTTTTCTGACGTTTCTGGGTTTTTTTCTGTTTTTTTTTTGTAACTTTAGAAAGTCTCTTCCTTCTGAGCGGCTCACGTGGAAGTTTGAAATGATCTTTTGGCAGCCCCGTTCGTGGCAGTGTCGATCTCTGTCGTTGTTGGACACGGCTCTGACTGCGCCGTGTGTGTGTGTGTGTGTGTGTGTGTGTGTGTGTGTGTTTGAGAGAGAGAGAGAGAGAGAGAGAGAGAGAGAGAGAGAGAGAGAGAGAGAGAGAGAGAGAGAGAGAGAGAGAGAGAGAGAGAGAGAGAGAGAGAGTCAACCCCCCATAGCCCATTGCTTTCAGCCACCACTAGGATGTACCACCACGTTACTGTTCAGGCACCCGCTCCGACCTTCCATCATAATCATCCCCGGTGTCAAAATAATCTGACCGAATTGTGGAATTCCACTTTTAATTCCCATGAAAGGAGCTTTTTCGCATCCATACGACATTTATGCCCCAAATAGTTTCAGAAATCACTAAATTATTTTGAAAATTACAACAACATGACATTAAACAACAGAATCATTCATCAAAAATGCTCCTCATAAATAAACTTTATTCTTATAGAGTAACAAAGTAAAGTAAAATAGTTTATTAAAGAAACACTTTAACTCTTAAGTTTGCATTTATTCATTTATTAATTAAAATATTTGCATTGACATCTTTAGAACAGGATATGGATCATGCGTAAACACACTTGTGTGGAACGTTTTCACAATGTAAAATATCCAAATGTTAACATTATGTATGCCACATTCTAAGTTATTCATAATTCTGAACATTTCAGAGAATTTGCGCACAAGAAATTCAGAATAAAATTAATTTCCCTTTTCCCACCCCCTTCCCTCCCCCTCTCCCTCCTCGTCTCATATCTGTCTGACTTGTCTATCCCCCCCCCCCCCCCCCCCGCCGCCCACACACACACACCTCAAATGAAAGACAAAATTCAGTCGACAACAAGGCTATGGGCCTAAACTTTCCTTTTTTTCTGCATCATCCCCTTTGAAATCGCGTCCCAAAGCCTGTTGTTATTATCTGGTATTAATAGATGCAGCCTGCAGGAAGACAAAATCAGCTATTGATAATTGCGAGGAGTCCACGGCAGCTACTGTATCGATCGGCGTGTCCCGCGCTCCCCTGGCACCGGGAGATAAGGAGACACACTCTTTAGAGCAATATAATTTCTTTTGACCTATCTGCTTGCTACAGACTTATGATGAATGGCCACAGTGGCTGAAGTCCTTTATCACCAAAGTTACCCCCTTGATATAATATTGATTCTTTATAACTAGCTCACCACACAAAAATCAAACTGTCCACTTGGCCATCATCATCATCAATATCATCACAAAGGCGGGAGGAATGAAGATCCGCGCGCCTTTACAAAGAGAGAGCCCTCACAATCTTCTGTGTGTGTCTAAGCTGTATTTTGTTGGTGATTGGGGGGGGGGGGGGGGGATTTAATCCAAGGGGGGTGGTGGTGGGGGTGTGGGTAACTTCAAGAAAATTGGTTTATTCCTCACAGAGACTTAAATTAGTCGAGTGGAGTGAATGTATACAGCTTGATTTGGACAAAACAGGCAAATAAAAACACATTTTTGATTATTATTATTTTCCATTGACCGGAGTCATGCGTGGACATTAAAAGCCCGTTCCGATGTTCGTCCGACACCAGATGCTCACCAGACCCTCTCTGCGCTCCTAACTTCAGGCTGCTGGGCTCTTTACAGCGGGAGGGGACTGGGGGGTGGGGGTGGAGGAGGATGGGAGAAGAGGAACACGTAATCACCCAAACATCCGTTGTTACCCACTTCGCCCCCTCTGGATCTGTGTGGCAAGGTAAGAAAAAAGGCTACCCAGCTCGGCCCTGTTTGCTTTGAGAAGCGCAGCCTTGTACAGCTCCTCTCCTCTCCTCCCTCTCCCTGCAGCTGCGCCTCACTGCGGATACCGAGCAGAGGGAGGCCGGCTGGCGAGCAAGCTCCCGCTAAACCAGGTAAACTAACTTTCTATTCTCTGTTTGTTTCATTCCAAAGGCGGAAATCCGCGTAGAACCCGAGCTGTGAAACAGCAGCGGGACAGCACGCGACATGAACACACGTGTCCGAGCAGCCCTTGCTATGGCGGCAGAAGTTGCGCAGGTTTAAAAAAATAGAGCCTTTTGCGTCAGCGTCCAATCAGAGGTCTTTGCGGCGCCGCACAGCAGGATACTGTAGCAGCCTATGGCGCATTCCCCGGGCTCCACCCGCACCAATCAGACGCGCTGCCTGGTTAGTTTCCTTCTGTTATTAGATGGACTTAACACGCCGAATCATCATCCTCTGTGCATATGTGTCATAGTCCCGCAGTTTCAGGATCGACTTAATGCTTCTCAGCCAAATATTACCTTTCTGTTTATTCTAAACGGAATTGGTTATGTGGCCTTAGTGTTCCGATTGCCTAGTTATTATAACAGATTATAGGCATTAAAAAAGATTATTATGAACTATCAGTATGGTTATATTTTTTTTCTGCTAACTTTTTTCCACATCCTTGTCTAGATCAGGGGTCTGCAATCTGCGGCTCCAGGGCCAAATCTGGTTCTTGGACCCAAAATAACATAATTGTAATGTAAAGTCTAATTTTTGATATTTTATGTCACAAATGTGTGATTTGAAGCTCTGATATGACAAGAGATAAGACGTTTTCCTGACCATTTTAAATAACGACTGGTCTTTGATAATCAAAACTGTACAAAAGTTCAAACAAACATTTTTTCCAAGAAGAACTTCTGAACGTCACAGTTAAAATTAGAACAATTTCCATCTTTATAAATTAAAATAAATAAATTTCATAGATAATAATTTTCCACAAATACAAAGTGCACACACATATGCTTCCATTGTTGTGTGTTTAAATTCCATAACAGGAGGGTTTAGGTAAAAGCATTTGTGCATATTCATGAGTGTTTGTTTTCATCTTCAGTAATGCAAAAATGCAGTTTATTATAAGCATTTTTATAAGGTAACAAGTTGTTTTTAGGGATTTTGTTTCGGGATATTGTTTCTGAAGTTTCATTTAAGTATTTCAACTAGACAAACTTTACTTAGTGGGCGGAACAAAAATGCTTTCAGACTCCTGATCTTGGCTGCATTGTTTTGGTAATTCCTCATTATTATTTATTTATTTATTTATTTATTTATTTATTTATTTATTTATTTATTTGTTTATTTATCTCAAACCATTGAAAAACATCAAATTGCATACGCACCCCTCCATATTCCTGGTGCATAAAAAATGTGGAATACGATTAACATATGCTGTTGAAGAAAACAATACAAAACATACAATAACATAAAACCGTTTGAGAGGGAGCTGGAAGGGGCAAAAGCTTATCTAGTCCAGCCCCAATTCAGTTAATAAATCACATTTGCTCACATTAGCAAATTTGAAAGAAAAAAAACTTTTTCTTTATGCAGGTCATTCTATCTTCACCTTACTACATAAAAATACAGCTGCAAAACAATTGTTCACATGAATCTACAGAAAAAGGAAAACAAAACCAATAAACAACAAAATAAAATATTCCATTTGCTACCAATTACCAGTTTTATCACTTACTATTTATGTATGAGTCAATTATAAGTTGTTTATACAACATTTTAAATGATCTAATGTTTATACATAATTTTAAAGTCAAGTTTGTTCCACAGTTTGATACCACACACAGATGCACACATACTTTTCAAAGTTGTTCGGTGTAATGGAAAAATGAAGTTTTTAACGCATCTCAATTCATAACCTTCCTCATGAGTTTTAAACATCCTTTGCAAATTACCTGGTAGTACACCCATCATGGCCCTATACGGTATTAGGACAGTTTTAATTTGAATTAAGTTAAAAAATTAAGAGTAATCTGGAATTATAGAATAATGGAGTTGTATGATCTCTATATCCAGAATTAGTAATTATCCTTACCACTCTTTTTTGGAGAACACAAATCTTTAATAAATTAGATTTATAAGTATTACCCCATACTTCGACACAATAGGATAAGTATGGTAGAATCATTGTACAATAAAGTATGTGTAGTGCTTTCTGTGATAGAGAATACCTTGTTTATTTATTATCCCAATGCTTCTGGCTAATTTAGAACACACATATTCTATGTATGGCTTCCAACAGAGCTTATGATCAATCAGTATCCCCAAAAACCTAATTTCATACTCTCTTTCAATGGCTATTTCATTAACAGTCAAATAGATCTCTTTACTATTTCTTTTATTTCCACATAACATAAACTTTGTTTTGCTGACATTTAACAACAGTGTGTTTTTATCAAACCGATTCTTAAGCTTAATTCTTTCTGGACCTTTTGTACAAGTTGCTGTATATCTTCCGCTGAACACAAAATATTTGTATCATTAGAAACACAATAAATTTAAATAAATTTGAACCTGTGTAGATATCATTTATATATAAATGAAATATCTTAGAGCCGAGTACCGACCCTTGCGGAACTCCACAGTGAACTTTGATTATTAATTATTAATAGAAAATGACAAAATATTAAAAAGAGTTGGTTCCTTAAACCTAATTGTGACATTTTTACTGTCAAAGCACTCGTAACTGAAAGTGCTGCAAACAGTAACAGGTTGTTTTAAAGTATTTGTTGTGGTGCGAGTTAAGTATTCAGCATGTGCATAATCTCATGCATAACTGTGGACATTAAGCATAAGTAATGTGGTTTTATCTGGGGCTGAAGCAGTTTCACTAACAAACTGACCACATAAACAACCATTTAATCCCATCTGCTTGTTGTCATATCATGAGCGTCCCATCTGTCTTTGGCCAAGTCAACCTGAGATAGTCTGACAGGCGAGCGTTCCTGAGATGAGTAAAATTTGATGTGACTGGTTCAGTTGGGATTACCTCAAATGAATTGGATCAACCCATTTCTCCTACTACTGTATTTGAATTAGTCGCTGGGGCGTAATTGGACATGGAGTTGGCACTTGAGACGAGATGACAGAATGCTCATTGCTGCCACCACCAATAAACTACAGTATGTGTCCAATTCAGTGTGAGAGGCAGAGTCCTGACCCGCTGAGGAGGCTGCTGCCTCCAAACAAACACGTAAACAATTAAGACGGGGACAATCTGGATCAGGTGTATGGGAATGTGTTGGCC